TCCTCTCTGTCTCTCTCTCTCACTGTCCACTCTGCCTGTCAAAAAAAAAAAAAGAAAGTGCGGTCGGCGCACTGTGGCCAGTGCATCGAGCTGATCCAAAGCCAGGAGCCAGGTGCTTCTCCTGGTCTCCCATGCAGGTGCAGGGCCCAAGGACTTGGGCCATCCTCCACTGCCCTCCCGGGCCACAGCAGAGAGCTGGCCTGGAAGAGGTGCAACCAGGACAGAATCCGGCGCCCCGACCGGGACTAGAACCCAGGTGCCTGCACGGCAGGCGGAGGATTAGCCTATTGAGCCGTGGCGCCAGCCTACAACTGCTCTTCTGTCTACTCCAGCAGAGTGAGAGAGCCCCCTTTGCAATCATCACACATCATTAGTCTTCTCGTTTGCAGCGTCCCAGATATTTCTAGTGAATGTGTATTGAGCTAATCAATCTTATGATGATTGTAGTTGAAAAGCATTCCTTTCGTTTGTGAGACATTACTGTAGATGCCATGTTTATACGTGCATTGCATATGGACTTTTTTTTTTTTTTGACAGGCAGATGTCGCTCCCCCTCTTCGTGGAGGAACGACACAGGACCCTGCGCTGTTCTTTTGTCTGCTCGGCCCTCCCCGGGTTTGCTGCTGGTTCTTCCCGGGTTGGCTACCGTCCCTCCCACCTCCGTGGAAGGGCGGTTCCCCCTAGCCACTTTCCCCACTTCCGCGGGGGAGCGGCACACCGCCGGCCGGCTCTCTTGGGGGATGCACAGGTGTTCCTTCAGATAGATGTTCCCCTTAGATGTTCCTGGTGCATGTTATCTCTCTCTCCTCCTTTATAGTCCTCTTCCACCAATCCCAACTCTGCTACCCACACGCCGAGTACGCTGCTCTCCTCCAATCAGGAGCAGGTCCTGCTGTTTATTGGTTGAACTGGAGGCAGCTGTGTAGAAGCTGTTTCCTCCCTTCTCAGCGCCATATTGTGGGAGAGCAGATGCATAGAATAAGTCTTAATTCCAGTAACTTAGTCTAGTCCGAGTTGCTCCCAGTTGCTCCCCACAGGCAGAGTGTACAGTGAGAGAGAGACAGAGAGAAAGGTCTTCCTTTTTGCCATTGGTTCACCCTCCAACGGCCACTGCGGCCGGCGCACTGCGGCCGGCACACTGTGCTGATCCGAAGGCAGGAGCCAGGTGCTTCTCCTGGTCTCCCATGCAGGTGCAGGGCCCAAGGACTTGGGCCATCCTCCACTGCACTCCCTGGCCACAGCAGAGAGCTGGCCTGGAAGAGGGGCAACCGTGACAGAATCCGGCACCCCGACCGGGACTAGAACCCGGTTTGCCGGCGCCACAAGGCGGAGGATTAGCCTAGTGAGCCACGGCACCGGCCAGCATATGGACTTTTACTTTGTCCAGTCTCAATAGGAGCATAGCTCTTCCACAGTTTCTTTATTTTTTTTAAAGCTTTATTTTATTTATTTGAAAGACAGAGTTACAGAGAGAGGTAGAGGTCTTCCATCCGCTGGTTCACTCCCCAGATGGCCGCAACGGCAGAAGCTGAGCTGATCCGAAGCCAGGAGCCAGGAACTTCTTCTGGGTCTCCATGGTTTCCATTGCTTTCCATGGCCATACCAGAGAGCTGGATCGGAAGAGGAGCTGTTGGGACTCAAACTGCTGCCCATATGGGATGCCAGCACTGTGAGCCAGGGCTTTAACACTCTGTGCCACAGCACCATGCCATTCCATGATTTCTTGGAGACCTTGTATATCCCCAAATTAGTCAGGTAGGCCAAGCGAGACTGCAGTCTGTCCTGAGTCATGGCTGAACACCTTGTGATCTCTCGGGAACCAAGAAAGATAAGCAGGAGATTTCAAAAGACATTTTCAAACCTGTCTCTCTGACTTTCTGGAGACTGACACAAAGCCTTCACTTAGGCTTCTTCCTAGTCTCAGTTGTGCTCAGGATTTTACTTGTTGCCTCCCCTTAGGGTACAGCTGTGGGGCTAAGACCACTCGATGCCTTAGGGTACAGCCAAGGGTTCTCACTGGTAGAAACCCACTCACTGTGCTGTTTGTCATTGAGTACCTCTGATTCAGTGTCAAACTTTGGGATTAGGACACAGAACTGACAGAATTGCTTTTGTTCTGTGCAATTAAACTATTTTAATACACATTGGCTCATTGCTTTCCTACTCGTTGAATCGACTGAATTGTGACAACATAAACTAACAACCTCACAGGTAATCTCCATGTCTCTGATGACCACTGCAGTGCTACTTAGGGATGGCTTGTACAGTCAACAGACTGTGGTGTTGTATGACCTGACTATTGATGGATTTTCCCTGGCATGATAAAGTACATCATGTAACACAATTTTTACCACACTATATAATGTACAGTTAACCTAATATCCCTATTAAAGATTCAAAAGTAGTATCACTGGTAGAGAAGTAATTTAAAAGGCAAATGAATATATGACCAAATAAAACATTTGACAATTTGCTAAAAATTAAATATAATAAACCAAATTTATCTAAATTATAACATCTTTCATATATGTCACCCTGTTTTTTCCTCCTAACAATCATTTAGTGTATACACTTAAATGTCTGTACCATAATTTGGGAAACAAATTGAACAGATGTAAATAACTTCCCCACCATTACAAACCAGTGTGTTTGGTCAAAGCCAGGATGGAAACTCTTGACTATTTCATTCCACAGCTTATAAAGAGATGGGATAAGTAGGACCCAATATGTTTTGCCTCAGCAAGGTATCCTAATTCCTTTCCTTAGCTCAGCCCTCATTCTTCCATCAGATCTGTGATTTAGGGATGCCTCACATATTTCATGGGAAAATGGGATACACTACATTCAATCTCACTTTATCTTTACTCCCTAGATTTTCAGTCCCTTTTCACCAGGAAATAAATTTAAGCTTCTGTGAGAGGGGAAAACACATGCTGTTTGTAACCTCCTGCCATTTGGTAAGCAGGGTGGATTCTGAGCAAGATCCTTTGTTGCAAAACTGTCATATCAGATGTGAAGAAGAACTGGGGCTCAGAGTTGTAGTTCTTCTGGGTTATATAGTAACGGGGCTATACAGTGAAAAGCAAGCATCTGGACGGCCTTCTGAATGACATTTGATGATAGGGTGATGATCTATGTAGAGAAGAAGGTATTGGTTGTTTCTCCCTCCCTGCCTCTAACTAACTTTACTTTTGAAGACTTATTTATTTATTTGAGGGGCAGAATTACACAGAAATAGAGATGGAGAGAGAAATACAGAGAGAATATTCCATCTGCTGGTTCACTCCCCAAATGGCCATAATGGCCAGAGTTAGGCCAATCGGAAGACAGGAGCCAGGAGCTTCTTCAGGCTCTCCCACGCGTATCAAGGACCCAAGCATTTGGGCTATCTCTTACTGCCTTCCCAGGTCATTAGCATAGAGCTGCATTAGAAGAGCACTCAGGACAATAAACGGTGCCCATAAAGTATACCGGCACAACAGGCGGAGGCTTGAACTACTAAGCTACAGCACCGGCACCTCTAACTATCTTTTCAATAAAGAGCAGAACTTTTACAGATGTTGAGGAATTTATCTATGGAGCTTGTGACATCAGTCATTTTCTCTGGGTCCTCATCAACCGTCTGAAATGGCTTTAGCATTATAGTTAATAATTTTCTGTGGCACGGTAAGATAAGTATAAAAGAGGTATGTTAATGCTTATTTTGTATCAATTATTTAACTTGAGAGATCTGTGTGTCTCATTTTGGTAAACTCATCCTTCAAGAGAGGAACAAAGGCTTTTCTGTTAAATAATGAATATAGGGGCCAGCGCTGTGGCGCAGTAGGTTAATCCTCCACCTGCAGCGCTCGCATCCCATATGTGCGCCAATTCTAGTCCCGGCTGCTCTTCTTCCGATCCAGCTCTCTGCTGTAGCCTTGGAAAGCAGTAGAAGATGGCCCAAGTACTTGGGCCCCTGCATACATGTGGGAGACCCAGAAGAAGCTCCTAGCTTCTGGCTTCATACCGGCGCAGCTCCGGCCATTGCGCTCATTTGGGACTCAACCAGCAGACAGAAGACCTTTCTCTCTGGCTCTCCCTCTCACTGTCTGTAACTCTACCTCTCAAATAAATAAAATCTTTAAAAAACAATGAATATAACAATATCCATAATTTTCTGAATATAGCAGATTGTTAGTAAAGTCAATACACACATCATCAGTTTTGTATTCTAAACTTTCAGAAGTATTTGCTCTGAAAAAGTACCAAAGGCTTCAACAACAAAGCCTGAATCCTAGTCCCAACCAGGACTAGAACCCGGTATGCCGGCGCCACAAGGCGGAGGATTAGCCTAGTGAGCCGTGGCACCAGCCAACCACAGACACCTTTAAAGGGCAGGAAGAAGGGCCTAACTAATTCAGGGCAACACCCATAGGACAGAACCGACACTGGCGCCAATATGCCCCTCCAATCAGCTTAAAGGTTATGTAGCTAGAGTAGCTTTCCAGGTGGGCCTGGGCCACACCAGGGAGCAATTTACCTGATCCACACAAGGCAGGGGGGAGCGAAATGTATCACCTGCCAGCAGTCAGGCTAACTGCATGGGCTAGGCAGGCAGTCTCACAGGATCACCCACAGCACAGATCAACATTACCAAGGCAAATGAACAGTGTGGTGACTTTTAAACTTCTGTGTACATAAGGATAGTATCAGCATAGAAATAGAAATGCATAGTTTTCAGGATGACAGGATCATTAGAGTCATCTAGTAGCAAAGATGGGACTCGCAACTTTTTGAAGGCACATGAACCCAGACTTGCTCCTTCTGTGTTTATCTTTTAGCTAAGGCCTGATAGTGAAATAGAGATGTGATCCAGAAGCAGCTGAATGTGGAAAAGCCAGGTCCCACATTACTCACACCTTTCAAAGATTTCAGGCCCAAGGAACAGTTTTTATATTCCAATTCATTTTATTTACCTAGTGTGACCTTGATCCCAAGTCCATCAAAGATAATTTATGAACTAAGTGTTGAAGCTAATGTCACTCGTGAGGGTATTTATTAAAATCCTAAACAAATTGTTAAGAAAGTTTATTCAGAAGTGATCAGACTGTCATGACCAAAACCAGTACCCTCCAGTGCCAGGATTACAAAGTCGTTTTAAACATAGAAGTTTACCACTGCAATTCAACAGATTACTAGATTAACGAAGGAAATTTGGATCCATGAATATAATTGAATTGTCCTGCAAATGCTAAAATTGTGGATAAATAAAAATCCTTTCCTTATATGCAATTTTTAAAAATGCAAGGAAGGAAAGGAAACAAAGTTGTTACTCAGAACATGTGGTGTAGTGTTATTTGTGTCTATGTGTGAGTTAATTATATTCTCATTCTTATAGCAACTGCTAAAAACAAAGATATGAAAATAAGCCATGCAGATTAAAATAGTGTAAGAGGAAATAGGAAAAATGAATAAAACTGGATGTGATAAGAAACAAAATAAAACAAGATAGTAGCTGTAAATGTAAACTATTTTGACACCAAATCTGTAGTGAAATAGCACTTCGACAATAAGTATACACAAAAAATTTAAAGCATTGTAGCCAAATGAGATATACCTAATTCCATTAACATAAATGGAAGTATAGCAAAGTACAATACAAGATGTCTATGCTGTTTTTATATACCAGCAACAATCAACTGAAAATTGAAGGTGAAAAGAGTATCCCTTACTATAGCACCAAAAAGCCATGTCACATTAGTGATAAATAATTAACAAAGTTCCTGCAAACCTGTACAAAAAAAGCCAAAAACCATTACAGAAAAAAATTAGAACAGGCAATAACAGATGAGTGATATACCACATTAGTGGATTTTAAGATTCAAAATTGTGAACATGGGGGGTGACTTTGTAGTGTGGTGGATAAACCCACCACCTGCCATACTGGCATCCTGTATGTACACCATCTCATGCCCCAGCTGCTCCACTTCCAATACTGCTCCCTGCTAATCAAATGGGAAATGCACCAGAGTATGTCCCAAGTGCTTAGGCCCCTATCATCCATGTGGAAGACATAGATGAAGCTTCAGGCTTCGGCCTGGCCCAGCACTGGCACTTGTGCCAACCAGGGAGAGAACTAGCAGATGGAACATCTCTGTTTCTCTCTGTTTCTCCCTCTCTCTTGTAACTCCTTCAATGTAAATAAATAATTATTTAAAAATACATTGTGAATATGTCCCAGTTTCAACCAAAGTGTCTACAGATTCAGTGTAATCCCAATGAAAATCCTTGCATCTTTCTGTTTAAAAAAAATTGATGTTTCTGTTAAAATTTCTTATATAAAAACAGAGAGAGTATAATATCCAAAAATGCATAAAATATAAAAAGCACATAAGATTTTTCAAGGTTGTTTAAAGCTATGGTAGTCAAGTCATTGCGTTATGAGCACAGGTAAAGAAATCAGAGTTCAAATTGAGACGAACATATTTATGTTGATTTTTATAGTAAGAAATCAAGATAATTCAGTAGGAAAAGGTATTTTATTGAAGGATGAGTGTTTAAATTGTAAGACGTCAGCATGCAAACAAATGAACCTCCGATATTGTATTTCACACCCTATAGAAATGAAAACCGAATGCATCATACACATAAATGTAAGATTCCCATGTAGTAAAACTTCTGTAAAGAAATGTCAGAGAATCTACTGCACTGGTTTACATAAACATTTCTTAGGATTCAAAAATCAGAAACTATGAATTGGAAAATTCACAAATTAAGTTTACTAAATCAAAAAGCGTTCCTCTTTAAAAGATAGTAGGCAGATGAAAAGAAAGTACATTTACTGGAACAAAATATTTGCAGATTGGGTCTGGAACCTTCACATCTTGGTTCTGAGATTGCAACATTGTATACTGACTTTTCATTAAAAGTTACACACCTTTTCCAAGAAAGAAACATTTACAATATGACTCAGTAGTCTTACTCCTATAGAATTCTAGAGACTTTCAAGAGAAATAAGAACTTATGCATCAATGAAAGCTTCTACTGAAATGTTCACAGGCACTTCCTTTGTAACAGACAAAGTTGAACATAACCAAATCGTTTAACAGCTGCTAAAGGATAAACAAACTAAAGTATATTCATGTAAAGCAACACAACTCAATAATGAAAAGCAACAAATTACCAATGCTTGTACAGCTCACAAAACTGATATGCTAAGTGAAAGAAACCAAACATAAAGAACCAAACACTTTACTGTCTAATGTAAGTTATTTGGGGAATACAAATTTATAAACAGAAAGTGTATTAGTGATTCCTAGGGATTTGGAATGAGGAAAGGGGATGAACTGTACAAGTGCCAAGAAAAGTATTTCGAAAGAGAGAAATTTTCCATATTTGGATCTGATTAGTGTTTACATGTCTCCAGAATCAACAGTGTACATTTAACATTTACAAGGTCAGGAAGTAGAGTGAATAGTTCAAAATCAAATGGTCATATTTAAAAGATACTTCAGGATATAACCATTGTTACATGGGCAAATTTTATTACACAATATTGTGTACTCAGAGGACAACTTCTTATATGAGGTACTTCAAAAAGTTCGTGGAAAGTGGAACTAAAAGGTAAGTCTGCTTTGATAGAAAAAGTTTGAAACCCATATAATTTTTATGCAATATGTATGCTAAGGAAAACTACATGGGTTTCAGGCTTTTTGCACCAAAATAACTTATCTTTCAAATCCAGTTTCCATGACCTTTTTAAAGACCAACTGTATATGTCTAGTCTTCCTAGATATATACAAGTGTCTGGTGTATTTTAAGATTTATTCATTTATTTATAAGACAGAGGTACAAAGACAAAAGGAGAGACACAGAGAGATCTTCTATCTGTTCTTTCACTCCTCAGATGGTCACAACAGCCACGGCTGGGCCAGGACAAAGCCAGGAGCCTGGTACTCATCTCGATCTCCTACATGAGTGCAGAGGCCCAAAGACTTGGGACAGTTTCTGTGCTTTCCCAGGAGCACAGGTAAAAATGGTTATAGCCTAAGATATCTTCTAAATATGTCCATTTGATCTTAAACCATTTTATTAGGAAGCTGGTTCAGAAGGAGAGCATCCAATACTCGAACTTGTGTTCATATGGGATGCTGGCCCTGTAAAAGGCAGCTAAACTCAATGCACAACAATGAAGGCACCCAACGCTTAGTGTGTATTAAAGAAGATTAGGATAGTTCAATATTTTGTGAATAATGTACACAAAGTGATAGGAAACATTGTGTGAAAATTTTAAGCAACTTTGGCAAGCAGTAGTTGTTCACTGGATTAAAAGAGGTGGGACAGATGTAACTGCAAAAGGTGTATTGCCAGTGTGGTGTTACAAAATTTCAGCCAACTCAATACCTACATGTTACATGCATTTCTAAGGGGCAGGGCTGAACAAATGGAAGGAACTAAAAGGCAGAGAGAGGCTGGAAAGTAACAAAAGCAATTACGATGAACAGAAGAGAAGAGTCTGATGAACAGAAGAGAAGAGTCTCGTAGTGAGACCTGGAGGGGTAGGATGGGATGACCTTTCTTCCCAAATTACAGTGCTGGGCAAAGGAAGGGGGAGAAGATAAATTGCTGGGTTATGCCAGATGTGCTACTGAAGCTAAGCTCTGTTTGGTCTATGCAGGAAGAAATTGGGGATTTAAGGAAAGTATAGAATCAGTAAAGTTTCCAGAGGAAAGCATGAATGATTTTTACCCAGCTCTATCCTTTCACCCAGCTTGCTCCCTCAAAACAGATTCCAAATCATTTAGTAAAGTTTTGCACCAAAAACTGGAGTTGGAATCGTGATGCTGCAATGGTAGCGGAAACCCGGGAGCCTCAGGATTGACATGAAGTTGAACAGGGGTTGGGGAAAAATGATGTTAAGGTAAGAAATTACAGTCTGCTCTCATCTCCTACTCAAACTCAGACCCCAGGCCTGGACTGGGCTAGAAAGACTGGGAAAAACAGACAGCTGATGTCATTATCAGGGATCCCATGGTGGACAGACACAGTAGGTGAGAAGGCTGAAATGGAGGCCAGAATTCTACTTGCAGCTCCTAAGACTGAAGCAGGGGCCTGGGTTCAAGAAGGAGTCAGAAGGAAGACAGTAACATGGTGGGAGGAGCCTTGATAATATAAAGTTATGAAACATCCTCCATCACGACCATGCAGAGGACATCAGCGGCACCGGCAGATGAGTGACTGATCAGGGGCAGAGCTTGGAGCAGGTGACTTTGCAAAGCATGTGGAAGAATGGAAGACACCCTTGCTAGGAGGTCAGATGAGGAGTGCGGATGAGCTAGAGTCTCCATGTCGTAGAAGCCCACACACTCAGGCTCTCAGTTCAGATACACTCCAACGTGCTGTGGTTTCTCACCTGGTCTCAGCAGTGTCTGCTCTCTTGAACTCTGTGCTCCATAATGGTTCTCAGCGGTATCCTCACACACCACTAGCTGCTGTAGCATGTGCTGCTTGGGCAACTGAAGCCGTTAGCTTGGATGATGACATGAGAAGTACGCATCCACAGTGTCCACAAAGTTCCTCTCCAAGTCCATCTTTTCCTTAGGATGTGTCTATTCATAAGCAGTGCCGACCATATAAACACTCCACTACCCACATTTACCTACCAATACTGCCATTCAGAGCATATGTTCTGGCCCCCTGGCCTCAACAGTCAGCTGAGGGCTGAGAACGTGTAGGGATGGTCAAAAACCTCCTGCCGCCTCTCCACCAGGTGGATCACAGGAATCGGTGGACAGATTCGGAGCCAGAGGAGCTGCATCAGGATCTGGCTTCAGGTTCACTCTTGTATCCTTACAGAACACTCGGCTCATTTTCCTCACGATGGCGTCTGTCCTGAAGTCATCACCAAGGGGTTGGGATATTTCAGGGGGAAAGATCTTTGGGGGCTGCTGCAATACCTCTTGACACTTTTTGAGAGTCTCCTGGAGAAGCAGTAGGCCTCCCTGCTGGCTCCGCTCCTGGACCTCAGCCAGCAGGCCACTCAGTTTGGTAAACTGCTCTGAGAAGTGGTTGACATTGGCTCTAGCTCTTCCCATCTTTGCTTTGTACATCTCTTGGATGAGCCACTGCAGATGTGCCTGCTCTTCCTCCAAAAACTCGGTCAGCTGCCCAAACTCGGAGGCTGCACCTGCCAGCTCTAAATCCATCTGGCTGTTTAGCTCTGCCAACCGCCTCTCCTCCTCGGCTTTCATGTCCTGTAGCTCCCCCAGGTGCTTCCTTAGGGGTTCCAGATGCCCCTGCAACTTGGCCTTGTACCCCTGCACCACCTCCTCCACCGGCACCACACTGTGCTGTTTGTGCCTCCGAGATTCACGGCAAACCACACAGATGGCCTCTTCGTCTACCTTGCAGAAGAGCGTCAGGGCTTCTTGGTGTTTGGGACACATGGCCTGCTCATTTACATGGCTCCCTTGGGCAGGGTTTGGGTGCATCTGCCGAATCACCTGCACCATGTTGGCCAGCTGCAGGTTGGGGCGGAAGCTCCACCGATGGAAACTCTTTCGGCACTGGGGGCAAGTGAAGCACCTCCGAAGCTCTGGAGGAGGAGACAGTGGGGCGGCGGGGTCCAGCTCCTCTTCCTCACCCTCTGCCAGAACTTCCTCCTCATCCTCCCAACTGAGGTGCTCCTCCTGCATGTCCACTACGTCCTGATCTTCCTCTTCCTCCTCCTCCTCCCCCCACACGGAATCCCAGTTGGACTCCCTGTTTCCAATGGGCCCCTCAAACTCCTCCTCCATGGCACGCTGCAAGTCATCATCCACAATGGGCGTTTCCAATCCAACACTGGCCCCCACAGTCTCCTCAATGTCTTCCTCTTCCTCCTCCTCCCCCTCCTCCCCCTCCTCCCCCTCCTCCCCCTCCTCCTCTTCCCATTCTAACTCCTCTCCGTCCTCATCCTGCCTGAACCACAACTGAGTTATACACACTCGGCAGAAGTTGTGCCCACAGCGGATGGACACAGGGTCTGTGAAGTAATCGAGGCAGATGGCGCACACTGCCTCCTCCTGCAGGGTCTTCACAGGGTTAGGAATCTTCGCAGTGGTATCCATCTTCCCGCCCCGTCAGCCAGGTTAGTCCTGAGGTGGCAGAGGGCAGAGGGGCAGAAGCCCTGGCGGCCAGGCCCACCTCCAGCCCTGCCTCTCCACCCCTCGTCCCAAGCACAGCCCGCAAACTGTCCTCCTGAAAACTCACACCTTCATGCAGAGTTCTCAGCTCGCTGATGACGACCGAGTCTCAGCCAGATGAAACAGCCGAGTGCCTCCACCAAAGTCCCCCAGGTAGCCCTGAGTGAAAATCCGCCTTCACCATCTGTCTTCTGGACTCCTCACCAATCCCCAACACTTCGCTTCCGGCCTCCTCCCCCACACTTCCGGTGAGTGAGCCCTGCCTCCTCACCAATCCCCGCCCCTTCACTTCCGGCCTCCTCCCCCACACTTCAGGTGTGTGAGCCACCCCGGAGTTCCTTCTCTGGGTGGCTTTTCTTCCTCCCCACGGTCTCCCATGGAAACAGGAAACAGTGTGGAGACGCTCTACAGATGCTCGGGAACAGAGCGGGAAGGCTAGAACTGGAGGCCCAGGTCTCTGGGCTAAGGAAGGTCTGGGGCTGGGGAAGCTAATGGACTAGAACCATCTCCCCGTCCCCTGCCACTGAGGAGGAGCTATGGGGTATGGTGGGAGCTTTTTGTGTCCGTCTGCTCTCGGTGCTATGGCCTCAAGAGCTGCGCTGCATCTGCAAGCCTGGCACAAATTGCAAACACACGGACTACCCACAGGCGGAAGTGGCCAGCTTGAACCTGGAATTGTTAAGTCACCTCTGAGCAGTGTGTGTCAGAACCACTCAGCAGGTTGGCAGCACAGAGGCATAAAGAAGTGTATAACGAGAGGCATGCGAGTGTGTTCATATCTGTGCTTTGTAGACAGCTTCGATGTGTGTGCTTTTGACTGTGCTATAGGAGTACGTAAAGTGATGCAATGGAAATATCCCTTCTTGCTGATATCTCCATGTTATCAAACTGGTCATGAATTTTCCCAGAAACACAATAATTAGAATGCACCACTGCTGTGTGTGTCCCTTTAAACCTGGCACTAGGGGAAAGCAGTGTCTTAATTATAACTCAGCAGATGTTTGTTTAGAGACCTGCTGCCATTTTTGCCTTTTACAAAAATGTTGTCTTCCTGAAGGTCAGAGGTACCTTTTTTCCTAACAGATTGAGTCGATGTTGTGCATTCTTGGCTATCAAAATACTCATACAGCTTTGGGATTCTGAATCAAATTTTCATGAAGTGTGAAAACCACAATGCAAACATTGTGTATAATCTAAGTCACAATGAAGTAGATGTTGTGTGTGCACACACAAGACCTAGAAGGGAATGTTGAACTAAATTTCTTTTAAGTTTTTCCTAGCTTCTTGTGTTTTTTAGTTTCCTACAATTCCTTCACTAACATTTTTAAAATAAATGTTGTTTTAAAAACCTAAAAAAAAAAAAAAGAAAAAATTGTGAATGCTAGAAATTTCATGAAAAGTGCTCCATATCATTAGCCTTCATGGAAAAGCAAATCGAGGATACGTGTGCTCTCTGACTTCAGGTATATTTGCTATTATCAAAATCACAAAAATAAGGCTGGCGCCGCAGCTCACTAGGCTAATCCTCCGCCTAGCGGCGCCGGCACACCGGGTTCTAGTCCCAGTCGGGGCGCCGGATTCTGTCCCGGTTGCCCCTCTTCCAGGCCAGCCCTCTGCTGTGACCAGGGAGTGCAGTGGAGGATGGCCCAGGTGCTTGGGTCCTGCACCCCATGGGAGACCAGGAAAAGCACCTGGCTCCTGGCTCCTGCCATCGGATCAGCGCGGTGCGCCGGCCGCAGCGCGCGGGCCGCGGCGGCCATTGGAGGGTGAACCAACGGCAAAGGAAGACCTTTCTCTCTGTCTCTCTCTCACTGTCCACTCTGCCTGTCAAAAAAAAAAAAATCACAAAAATAACCCATGATGGTGAGGACGTGATAACAAGGGAATCTTACACAGTACTGACGGGAATGCAAATTACCCACTCTGGAGCACAATATGGGTGTTACTCAACAATCTAAAATAAATCTATCATGTGGCCTAGCTATCTCATTCCTGGGTATACATCTGAAGGAAATGAATCAGCATGTCAGAGTAATACCTACACCCCTGTGTTCATTGTGGCACTGTTCACAATAGCTAAGATATGGAGTCACCTTAACTCCCAATTAATGGATGAATGGATAAAGAAAATTTTATTCAAACACACACAGACACACACACAAAATGGATATTATTAGGCTAAACAATAAAATGCCACTATTCACAGCAAAATGAATGGAACTGGAGATCACTAGGTTCAGTGAAATAAGCCAAATCAGTTAAGGGAAACACTGCCTGTATTCTCTCATTTGTGGAAGCTACAAAATTTTTGATATGAACCTAGAATAGTTATTACTAGGGACCTGGAAGCATCAGGGTATATGTGGGGAAATTAGTTACACGAAGCAATTCAAAGATGGTGCCCAGAGGAAGTAAGGTGGGTGAAATCCAAAGTTGTTTACCACTAAAGCTAATTGGCCATGCAACATCAGGGGAGGTAACAAAACTAGTAACAAGTGTATAGACATGTGGCTAGTCCTGTAAAAATCGCCCCGTAAAATGACCGTTTAAGTGATTGGTTGGTCCTTAGCCCTGCCCCAATGACTCTGCAGTTTTGTGCTATAAAAGGCTCTGTTACGTGTGAAATAAACAAGTTCTTGCTAGACTTGACTCCCCCCTGCGTCTGATTGCCTCCGGATCGGAAGGCTGGGGAATGGGCGAGTGGTGCACTTACCTTTCCTCGGACCCAGTCCATCCTTGTACAGGTGGACTAAGACCCTGCAGTGTAGAGGTAGTGTCAAAAATGGGTACCAATTACACTCAGATAGAAGAAACAAATTCTGTTCCACAGTACTATGGGGAATCTATAGTTCCCAATATTGTACTAAATTCCATGTAATTCCTGCAAGTGAGAAGACAGTCAACTCTGAATACAACAAAAAGATAAAACATAGCTCATTGCCTGGTTTGATTAGTATATACTGTGGCATGTGTTGAAATATTTCTCTGTACCCCATAAAAAGTTTAGCTTGTTGATCAAAAATTTAAAAAGTCAAATAGTTTGTAAAAATTAATAGAAATATTTGAATTGAAATCCATTGAAAAAAGTCAACACTGGCAATTACACATATTGTCTCCTGTGAGACATGAAATTCTAAAAGTAAATTAAGAATTTAAGCAAAAAATACAATAATTGTAAAGCATAATATAATTTTTATATATATGCTAAATATATGTAATTAAATTACAATGAATTGTAAAAAGAAATGAACAAAAATACCAATGGCCCTCACATTGCCTAATCCTAGGATCGCACTTAGTTTCTTCATACTGCATCTCTAGATGCTTTCATTCAGCTATTCACTGCTTTGCAAAACCTACACTCCTCCCTCTGGCTTCCTCCCAATTTCCTTTATGCTGTCTCCGTTCTCTCCTTTCATGTTAATTTTTGACTTTTATATTTGTGAAAACAACGCTTAGAATATACATCTCATTATATGCTTTGCTAAATCCTCTCTTTCTTTAAGTAGTTTAATCAGTATTCCTACTCATGCTACCCTCTCTTTTTGATTGCTTTCTTCCATTTTGCCATGATATAGCAATCTCCTTCTCAATTTTAGGGGTTCTGCTCCATTCTTAATTTCTAAAAGAAGCATGACCTGATTATTTGTTTCAAGTAGGTACTTTATGGGCTGACTTCTGTCCTGGTTACTACTCTTCCAATTCAGCTCTCTGCTTATGGCATGAGAAATCAGTGGAAGATGTCCCACGTGCTTGGACTCCTACACCCCCAAATGAGTCCTGGAAAAATCTTGGATCTCCTTGCTTTGCATCTGCCCAGCTCTGGCCATTGTGGCCATTTGCGGAGTGAAACAGCAGATGGAAGATTTTCTCTCTGTCTCTCCCTCTCTCTGTAATTTTCCTTCTCAAATAAATAAATGATAAAATCTTTTAAATACTGAAGTGGCTACTTTATAGTTTAGAATCTAGATTATTTTGTTATCACATATAATATGGATTTATTTGTTCATTAACTGACATTCCATTGCTCCCCAGTTCATTGTCATACTGCCAGCTAATCTGAGAATAACTGATACTCCTTAAGAGAGTTTCCATAGGCCGGCGCCGTGGCTCACTAGGCTAATCTTCCACCTGCGGCACCAGCACCCCGAGTTCTAGTCCCAGTTGGGGCGCCGGTTCTGTCCCGGTTGCTCCTCTTCCAGTCCAGCTCTCTGCTGTGGCCCGGGAAACAGTGGAGGATGGCCCAAGTGCTTGGGCCCTGCACCCCATGGGAGACCAGGAGAAGCACCTGGCTCCTGGCTTCGGATTGGGGCGGCACGGCACACCAGCCGCAGCGTGCCGACAGTAGCAGCCATTTGGGGGGTGAACCAATGGAAGGAAGCGCTTTCTGTCTCTCTCTCTCTCTCTTGATAGGCAGAGTTAGACAGTGAGAGAGAGAGAGAGAGTCCAGAAATATTTGATTAATGCTGAATAAATGCTCCTCTGAGATCTATTGCTTCCTTGCCAGGGTGACTACCTTGCTGAAGAATATCTCTCTCTCTCTCTTCCTCCCTCCCCCTCTCCCTCTCCCTCTCCCTCTCCCTCTCCCTCTCCCTCTCCCTCTCCCTCTCTCCCTCTATTTATTTGAATCATATTCCTTTTTGGTTGTAGTGTTAGGAGATGTCCTTTGGCCACCATTGATCAAACTATATGCCAGTTATTATCACCTAAGGCTACTGGGTAGCACCTCAGTCTGTGTGTCTCCTTTGTCACCAGACAGACCACAGCAGGGTAGGTTGTATTCCTAGCCACGTGCTGCACTAGTCTCAGGGGTCTGTGGGCTCTGGATATAAACTAGCATTTATATTATGGAATGGGTGACTAAAGGACCATGCATCTGGGTCAATCCAGTTCCAGGAAGGGATGTGGAGGGACAGACTACCCCTTCTCAGACATTTCCCTAGTTCATTATGAACAATGCACCAACCAGGATTTAGTACATTTGAGCTTGGGGAATCATCTTAAGTCTGTAAAAGTGGCAGAAAACTCACATGAAACATGTGGCAAATATTGACATAGGAGCCAACTCAGCTGAAATAGCAGGAGAGTGCACAGGATCAGAGAAAATAAGAACAACACATAGAATTTCTGGAAGATCAGACAGAAATAATGGCAGAATATCAAGAGTGGGAAAAACACCTAATCCTGCCATGTGCAAATGATGTCATGTGCCAACCAGTATCCAGAACTCTTAGGAATGATGACCTTACCTAAAGAACAAAATGAGGGGCTGGCATTGTGGCATAGTGGGAAAAGCCACCATCTACAGTGCCAGGGTCCCATATGGGCACCAGTTCAACTCAGTTCAATGCCTGGCTACTCCACTTTCGATCCAGATCTCGGCTATGGCCTGAGAAAACAGTAGAGAATGGCCCAATTGCTTGGACCCCTGCACACATGTGGGAGACCCAGAAGAAGCTCCTGGCTCCTGGCTTGGGATCGGGCCAGTGCCACCAAGTCGGCCATTTGGGGTTGAACCAGCTGATGGAATACCTCTCTCTCTGCCTTTGCCTCTTTGTAGTTCTATCTTTCAAATAAATAAATAAATCTTTTTTAAAAAAGAACAAAATGAGTACCAGAATCAAGGGAGGTAGCAATTGAGATCTGCAAATTTTTGAATTCAGGATTTGGAATAGCTATTTTATTGAAACTCAATGAACTTTAAAACACCACAGAAAAAATATTTACTACATCAACATAGATGGAAATAACTTGAAAAATGAAATAAATTCATGTGCTGAAAAATGTACTAGGTGGGGCCAGCATTGCGGCACATCAAGTTAAGCCACCGCCTGTGACAGTGGGATTCCATAACAGACCCTGGTTTGAGTCTTGGCTGCCCTGCTGTGAATGATTGTACAAGCACTTGTGTCCCTGCCACTCACGTGGGAGCCTTACATGGTGTAATAGGCTCCAAGCTTCAGCCTGGGCCAGTTCTTGCTGTTGTGATATATGTGGACTGAAACAGCAGATGGGTCTCTCTACCTGGACCTGGACCTGGACCTGGACCTGGACCTGGACCTCTGCCTCTGCCCCTGCCTCTGCCTCTACCTCTACCTCTACCTCTAACTCTAACGTCTTTCTACCTCTACCTCATCTCTCCCTGTCTTCCTACCCCGGTCACTCTGCCTTTCAAATAAATATAAATGAATCCTTAGAAATAGAATAATAAATGAAACAAAGAAACCAATTTGCTTCAAGACAAGTTTTTTGAAAATACATAGTTGGAGGAGAAAAAAGAATATACCCAGGAGTAACAAAGAGAGCTTACAGGCAGTTTGGGACAGCATTAAAAGATAAAACATATGAAGTATTGAAGTTCATGAAAGACCAGAATGCCAAAGAGTAGAAATAACAGGCAAAGAGATAATCATAGAAAACTTTAAATAAAGTGAGACATAAAACCCTCCAGTACAGAGTGGTCAAACATCACCAGTTTCAACTCAACTGAACGTACTGCAATACATATTATAATCAAGGTCTCCAAGGTTAATGATGGAGAAATTTTATTTGAAAGTCTCAGGTACAGAGAGAGAGGGAGAGACAGAGAGACAGATTACCCATTTGCTGGTTCACTCTCAAAA